CTGGATGCAAGGGTCGCCTACTAACAGAAGCTTCCAAGGCAGAAACGGACGGGAGAGGCGTTTGTGCTAAGCAGAAGCGGATATATGGTATGGTTTATATTGCATGCGCCATGGGCGCCACTCTCAAAGGGCGCTATTTACAGTTTAACCGCTAAAACAAACAACGACATTCCTAATTTAAAGTATCCTGACAGGAGAGCAAATTCTATGCTTGTCATAGGCGACTGAATACCTAGATTCACCTCTCATGCTAGGCCATCTTTTCAGGCATTCTTGAAGTTGGGAGTATTATCTTAGCAGCTTTTGGTAACGATTCATTAGGGAGGTCGAAAGGAGACACCTGGCACTCAATGTTCGCTGCCTCACTGGGCTGACACAGTCGAAACAGTTCGCGTCATATCCAAGAGGTATTTTCTTCTTGCCTCCGGAAAAGAAACTGTCACCCTGATTTTCTCTTTGATGAAGACTGAGCAGCAGAGTTGAAAAAATCCAGGGTTATTAAAAAGATGGTACATTTGTTTTATTTTTAGGGATATTATTTTTTTTAATTTAGTTCATATAATCAACATTCGAAGTCACAGTAAGTATACACACGGTGCCTCCACGGATTAATTCTCTTTAAAATTTCGAACTAATAATCATTACCGATAACATACATTTTCATCAATGTTGTTTGGATAATAAAGTCACGAATGCGTAACATGTAGCAAAGTTTAGAAAGAAGTTTGTATTTCACTAAAAGTGAATTTTTAACTTGTTTTGTCCTTGAGAAGTACTAGGCTTCTGCGGCAAGAGTCAGGCCGCATTCTGCGCCCTTCCTCAGGGCAAAGTGAATTTTGGTCAAGGAAAGTAGGGGTTGTAATCCTCAGCCCCTCTGCTTGAAAAATCCAATGCATGGTTCTCCGTTCTTTCCTTAACCAAATGAAATTCTACAGCGGAATTCGCCAAACTCGACCTTTTTTCGAAGTGAGCGACGTTCAACAACCGTGCCTTGAGATGTAATCCTCTCCATTCTTAAGCAGATGTGGCACTGCTTTGGTGATGAGCGTCCTTTAATTTGGGTATCTTCTTTCACCCCAGACCATTTGTTGAAATAAATAATTTATTGTAGTGTTATATGAGAATATTTTATTTGTTGTTCTTGAGTAGTGTGTGCGCTACGTTTTGGAAAATATTTTGTGGTTGTTCAGCAGCATTCTTGTAGCTGCAGGCTACTACTCTCTACTGTTGTTGCTGCAGGTTCTACTCCATATTGACACAGAAGTTTAAATGGCAAGTAAAATATTTTCTGTTGTTTAAATGTATCTACATAATTAGAAACTATGCTGCGAAACGGCGATTTACTTTAATAAGGATAAAAGGAATTAGTAATCAGTTGTATTGTACAATTCTACAAAATTATATATCCTTGCAACAAGTATTCTACCTCAGCTTGTGGGTCAATGACACCATCTCCATCAGTTTTTTTCATTTAGTATCCCTGATCTTTTAAGCAAATAACCGAGATGGCCCCTTGTTTTGCTTCTGGACATCAATATATGCCAGTATGTGCATGTTTTGTTGAGCTCTCTTTCTTTTGATAATTCCAAGTGGAGTAGATTGGGGCAGGGGTTATTTTGTAGGCAACCAATAATATAAAATTAAATCTGTAGATTTTTTGCCACCATCAGGAGCATAATATAAATGTGTAAAGGAATTCAACTATCCGGATGTAACTTTAACAAGTGATAGTCGTGATAGCAAAGATGTCCTGAACCAAACAAATAGAGGTAGGCAAGTTATAAGATCTTTACATTGACAAGGAATTTAAGCATAAAAAGAAACAAAAATTACACGGTATAAAACAATTGCTGAAAGTCTATTCACATATGGAGCTGAGTTATGGACTATTAATGCCATGGATTTAGGTAGATTCCAAGAAACAGAAATGGAATATTGGAGACAGTGTTGTCAGGTTACAAGAAAGGAGGGAATTAAAGAATAATAGAAATAATGATACCTAGAAAATCAACCTTAGACAAAACAAAGACTATTATGGTATGGGCATTTCAGAAGGTTAGAGAGTGAGCGACTGCCAAAGATGTGGGAATACCAATCTGAAGAAAGAAGATAGAGAGGAAGACGAAGAAAGAAGTGTGAGGAAGACCTAAAATCAATGATGGTGGCAAGAGATTTAGAAGATGATGCCTGGGAAGATAGAAAGAAATAGAGATTAAGCAGCAAGAAATGGCAACAGCTGTAAAATACTTGCTTTACTACTACTTAAAAACATTCTGATGGATTAAGACAAAAGCAAATTCTTAGTGTTGCAACAAGGTTTACTAATAGATAGCAAAATATTGATTGATCAATTACTGACAGTAAAATATAGCATGCTTAAATAATGGATACACCTAAAACAGGACCATTCCATATGGAGTGCCAAGGATTTTGCAAGTAAGACAGGGATGAGATTTCAATGAAGGGTAAGATCGAATTCCGTAAGACTGAAGAATGAAAGAGTCAGAAATATCATTTAAGTACATCTGATATAAATGTAGTTATTAAACAGGAGTATCAGGCAGAGAGGTGGATCAAAACATCGCTCCAGTCCTAGATTTTCTTGGGCTACAAATTGAGTATGTTAAAAAGGGGTAAGGGATATAGGTTGGTTTTCCTGCCAAATGAGGTTAGGGATACACACAATGTAGAAACAATTTCATGAAACAGTGGAAGGTATCAAAAAGAGGATATTATAAGGACAGCTTTGATTAATTCCAAAGTCACAAAAAGTTCATGTTACTTAGTGACACAATCATTTATTGTAGGAGTATGGATTGTTAAGTTTTTATCAAGGGGAGTACAAATGAATGAGTAAAATCAGCAAGTGGTTAAATGGGAACACAAGCAAAACTAAGAGTGTGACCATGGGTAAACGTACATTTATAGCTAATACTGAAATTGCACATGTGAAAACAGGTTACAAGTATAATTGTAAAACATTTAGGTGATATAATGTTAACTTTTTAAGAAATATTAATTATATCGATAAAAAAAACTCATGAGAAAAATATACAATGTAAATTGAGAAAGGAGGTGTCCAAAAAAAGTGAAGCCGTGTGTGAAGTGAATGCTGTAGGTATGTCACATGTATGCTATTGTTGTACTTGTCTTCAACGTTCACAGGATGGAAAAAGGAACGTTTCAAGTTCGTTTTAACAATGAATTAAGAGTAGTATTAAACAAATGTGAAGAAAATAACATTGAAATAGCATTAAGAGAGATGGAATATCGACCTATTAACAAAGAAATACAAATAGATGTTCTAACTTTAGTTTATAGAAAGGAAAAAGTATACTACTAGTAAGTAAAATCTGTTTAAACTGAAACCAGTACAAGTCGGAAACCTGCCTTAACCAGAAATATTCCCCGGCACATGACATTTGGCATGGCATTTTACATAGCATAAAACGGAATCTGTCCAAAGCAGAAATGGGACGATTTTTCATGTTCTAGAGGAGGAAAATCCTTTTTAAGGGGGAATTCCAGTGAACTGTCAGAGATATGCGAGGTATTCTTAACGAAAAGAATGCATCTGCAAGTCTATTCCAAATTCTCTATCCCAGAGACACACGATTTAGTCGTGGCTGCCACACAGTGGAGAAAGCTACAGCTGCCAGCATAGAATTTGACCTTGAGGTTGCTTGTTTCTCATGGCGTAGGCCATACGGAAATTCTCTCTCTCCCGACTCTCTGAGCATGGGAAAGTATACAGATATGGCTTCTATTCGCGCATCTCCCAGCCTGCATTCAAAATCATAACCCCTCGTTCAGATACACAGTGCTCAAGGCCATGTGAGGGTATACTCTGGGTCGAGACACATTTTTCTTTGAAAGAGTCAGCAAGTAGTCCACCTGCAGCCACTAAGCCATGAGGTAGTGTGTATTTTTTTTAAGTTTCAGAACCAGTTTAACAATGGTTGAAAAAAAACAACAAAATTCTAACCTTAGATGAAAAGGTCAAACTTATAGAAGCAAGAGAAACTCAGAAGCTATCAATGAAGTACGTTTAATATTCATTTATTGGTGATTTCCATCCACAACTAAATAATCTAAATATGTTATATGTTAATGTTAATTATAATTAAGTCATGTAATTTACTAGTTTCAGGATGTAAATATCAATATTACAAGTGTCTTAAAATAGACAACCCTGCATAAAATGGGAACTTCCATAAATCGGATTCATTTTGATAGATTCCGGCTTTTATTGTACCAGGATTTTTAAACATTTTAACTGAAAAAATAATAACCGTTAGCAGCATACTGCTATAAATTCAAAAATTAAATTAACCAGTGTGTATTATCCCTTTGTCTCACAATCCACCACAGATGTATCAATATGATGCTTGTAATGGTCTGAATGGTGAAACTTTGGGAACCAATTTTTAGTTTTATTTAATTGCATAACTTTGACACCTACAACCAACCTATTGTCAACATCCACACCTTATCTTTTATTAATGTTAATCTTCTATTAATTTTCCAAGATGCTCATGCTTCATAGTTCGTTCCTGAAGCAGTTATGAACTCAGCACGACATTAATAATGTTACTGTGTTGATGTTTCAACCTATCACTGTTTCATGAATTATTTCTGAAGTGTTGACCATTACGATTAGATTTACAATTACATAATATCACTACCCAATCAAGTTCTTTACACAATACAATAAGAACAAAAATACTTGCACCAAAAGTGATGAGGAAGAGAAAAAAATAACTATCACACAACTGCCTGCTCCTCATAAAAATTAAATTAAAATGAACAAATTATTGAAAAAAATGTTCAAGAAATCCACATAGATAGTGAAAATGACTGGATTCATGGAAATTAACTAATTTTATTACTTATTTAATACTTTACACATCAGCACTTTAATTACTAAATTTTCAATTTATATAATTTTCCTTGCTTTTATAAAGTGTGTATTACATTATCAATACAATAATGAAACTCACCTTTTCCTAAAAGGTAAATTTTTTTGCATTAACGGACTCTTGGGACTGGTAGCAATTATGGCAAATTCTTTTAGAGTACTTGAATTGTCCCCAAGATTTAATGGTGGTGGAATAGGCTTCAGTCTTTTGCTGCACTTCATACTCAAATCTTTGGGCTCACAATCATCATCTTGTTCCATTATCATTTGGCTAATATTGTCCTACAAAAAATGAATAAAAATGGTATATGAAAATAATGGAGTTACTTATAATACAAATTCAAATTGTGAATCAAATATTGATGATAAAAATGGGCAAGTTTAACAATAAAAATGTTTAATGCATGCATACCACTATTAATATATTTCTCCCACACAATTACTGAAGTTATCAGTCTGTAAATCCTTGTAAGATAGACAAAGTGAACCAAGAATTCTTAAGAGAAACAAAATATCAAAAACTAAATAGAAAATCAAAACTGTCGAACAAGCTAAAAGGTAAACATAATTATTTATATCTCCTAATTGCATCAGAGAAAAATATACATAGATAAAATATTTTAATTGTGTCACTCAATTAAAATCCAACATTAACACACCTACACAAAATATTGATAAACAATTTCCACTCAATAATTTTCCCTAATCATATTAAGTATTCTCAATTTTCTCTGAACAAATTCAAAATATTTACCAATACTAATAAAAAGAGCCAAAAGAAATTAGCAGTAACATTTTTTGCATGGCTGGTGACTTTAAATTATTTTTTTCATTAGAACATAACAGATCCAATAAACAACCTTAATCCATGTAAACAGATTACCTTTCTAAGTAAATTATCAACATTAATTTTGTAATTTATAGTAATTCCTATTCTTACATTTGAAATAATGTAAAATGTAGTTATATTAAAAAACAATTTATAAAAAAAAGTTGTATAAAGGTTTAAACTCTGGAAGCAATATTGAAAAATAAAACTTTTTAGCAATTACTTTAATAGCAATTTTAGTAATAGCTTTTTAGCAATTACTGCAATAATTTAATAAATCAGGCATACTTAATTACAAAGAAATGAGGAGATAAATATTCACTTGTTTTGAGACAGATAAAGGCAATAACCCTCATTCTCTTGAAATAATTAAAATTTAATTCTACCAAACCCCGAAAAAGCATATAATCTCCTACGCACGTATATACTTCGATATAACCTTTATAAATATACAACATCAACGCACCAACAAAGCCCATTCCAAGACGATAAAAAATGTTACAATATGAAATGAACAAGAAAATTTAGTTACAACAATATGTGATACATTAAAGAAATGCTACAGAAATGACACGTACTTTTTCTTATCTTCTGAAGCCTCTTGTTCAAGTGCAACAACTCAAGATGTTCCACGGATACCTTAGCAAAATACTTTCGTTGTCGTTTCCATTCCTTTTTTTGAACCTTTTACAAGGATGACGACTTACTCGTGTTAGTATTGTCTATTTCACATCTACGAGGCAATGGTAAGCAACCGAACCAACATACCAACCAATGAAAATATGCCTTACATCAGGCTTAGATAACGATACAGATTGTACTAACTGGATGATTGGTTGGACTTACACTAAAGCTGCGATTACCAGTTTGTCCGAAAATGAACAGCAGCTACCATGTGCGCCTCTTTTGCATATTCTTACCTTTCATGTTTATTTTCTCCGACCCGAAAACAAGAAAGGCTGAGTACCAGTGAACTCCGAAATCTTGCTTTGGAAATACTGTTTAGATATTCTCACTAAGAAACATGTACAGCATTTTTGTTTATGAATGCTCGCTCGATAAAAGAAAGGAAAACATTACTTTCGTAAACCAACTAGTTACTTTTAAAAAATAAGCAATTGTCAAAAATGATTTTGTAGCAGAACCGGGCGATGCTCATAGTGCAGCAATGCGAGCATGTTTGCGCGACATATTTCTTCATAAATGTAGTATATAACCTGATCATATGTTTAAGATCGAAAACCTCGGAATGTAAAACACATGCACATAATAATATCATTATTGTTGAAGGAGATGCAGCAATGAGTTATAACATATCAATCACGAAAATATAAACTAGTTGGTAATTTTTACCACGATATCTGGCAATTTTCTATCCATTTATCACATTCTAGTTTAAATATTTCAATTTGAAATTCAAGCCTGAAAAATACCTCAAAATGTGAATACCATAGACGTCACCGCAAGGACCCGATCCCCCTATTATTTTTTCCTTTTTTGTCGTAGATATCAAAACACGACACCGTACGCCTTCGCACGAATTTATCAAAAACTTTACTAAATACACAAAGTAACCAGTGATGCTACAAAATGACAACGACTTTCGTAATCTAGTTCCCTTGTATTTTGAGTAGGGGCTGCGGGTAACGGCCGCCTTCACGATTTTGGTCCTTGCATCGCATCTTGACCCATTCATTTCTTTGGGGAAACGGTGGGGGGCGGCTCTTGCGCATCGAATCCGATTTCAGCCAATGAGCTTCAGACACCAGTTCGCGTCACAATATTACCGGAAATTTTAAATGCAGCCACATACCATACTCACATCGTTACAAGACACTAAAAGAGATTTATTACGCATTTTTTAAAAATATTACTCTTTCACACCTTCATTGTGTCTCTCTCTCTCTCTCTCTCTCTCTCTCTCTCTCTCTCTCTCTC